CAGGGCAGGTTTCCAGGAGGACATGGGTGCTGAGCTGTTCAAAAATTTAATAAAATAAAATAAAAAATAATTAAATTATAAATGTATTTAAAAATTAATAAATTAATAGAATAATTAAAACCCTACAAAATTAGTGGAGAGAATGAGATTTTTTTTCCCCATTATTCCATCTCACCCTCTGCCTTCATCATAAAAATCCTGAGAGAAGAGTCACAAACTGGGGATCTCATCAACTTGACAGAGATCACCATCATCTCCCAGAAATCCTGAGAGAAGAGTCACAAATTCGGGATTTCTCAGCCTGAAAGAAATCACCACCATCTCATAAAAATCTTGAGAGAAGCGTTAGAAAACAGGGATTTTATCAGCCTGACAGAGATCACCATCACCTGACAGAAATCCTGAGAGAAGAGTCACAAATTGGGGATCTCATCAGCTTGACAGAGATCACCATCATCTCACAAAAATCCTGAGAGAGGAGCCACAAATTGGGGATTTCTCAGCTTGAGAAAGATCACCATCATCTCATACACCATCATGTCATAAAAATCCTGAGAGAAGAGTCACAAACTGGGGATCTCATCAGCCTGACAGAGATCACCATCATCTCACAAAAATCCTGAGAGAAGAGTTAGAAAACAGGGATTTTATCAGCCTGAGATCATCTCATACACCATCACCTCATGAAAACCCCGAGAGAGGAGTCCCAAATTGGGGATTTCTCAGCCTGAGCACCTCGGGGATGCCTTGAGGCACCAACTCCTGCTCCTCACCTCTCCTCCACACCCCGTGCGCTTTCTTCAGCTTCACCATGAACAGCAGCACAATGATGAGCAGCACCAAGATGAGAGCAGCCACCAGGATGGGCAGCAGGAGATTCTTCTCCTTCTTCAGGAGTCCTTTGGATTCAGGATTTCGCTCTGTAACACAGGTTTGTGCTGTTAAATGCCCTGGGAATTTCTGGGAATTCAAACAGGAATGATTTCACCCCGGCGATGCATTCCTGAAAAATCAAATTTCTTGCCTGCAGGGGAAATTTGATTGGGGCAAAGAGACCTTTTTGTATGTTTAATTTTTCCTTTTATATATATTATTTATTTATATTATTTATAGATAAAAGGAAATATTTCTATATTTATATGTATTTCCTTTTCCTTTCCTTTAGTTATGTATACGTTTTCCTTTCCAAAATCTTCCAGTGATCGTTTCTATCAGTTACACTGGTTGCTAGAACAAATTGATTTTTCCAGTGGTGCTTCCCAGAATTTCCTCCCTATTACCCCATTCCGTTCTCTGAGATTTTCTAGACAAATCATCCTCTTTTGCTACTGCTTGAATTTCTCTCCTTGATCAGTAGGAAGGTGAAGTCCAGATTTCCTTCAGGGAATTCTGACTCCTTTTGTCCAGCAAAGGTCCAAATTTCTCATTTGAATCTAACTAAGGAGTTAACCACTTATGTCAGCTTCTTCCATGAGGTACAACCAATCTTTTATACGCACAAATCTCTGGGAGAGCAGAATTCACCCAGGGAATTGTGAAGAATTCACCTTAATGAATGTGAATAATGAATTCATGAGGTTCTGAACTTCATTTTAGGATATAATATAGTTAATAGGATAGTATTAGTAGTATAATTAGTATAATGTAATATATAATCATATATATAATGATATATAATATATAATCTATAATATATAATGATCATATAACATAATACATAACATATAATATATATAGATGGAACAGGAATATAATCTATAATCTATAATCTATAATCTAATATATAAAATAAATAATATACAATATACAATATACAATAAATAATATATAATATATATACTATATAATATATATATTTTATATCTATATAGACAGAGAAGAGATATATAATATAATATATAATAAGAATAATATATAATAGTTGATGATATACATAAGCATTAACCTTGCTTTGCAATGCTGAAATGATGGTGTGTGCTGTGTGTACCAAAACTTTGCATTAAGAAGAGATTTCCCTTTCCTTTTCACACCCAGTAAAAGCCACAGAATTCCAGAGTGGTTTGGCTTGGAGGGGACCTGAAAGCTCCTCTGGTTCCATTCCCCATACAAGATCGAGGCTCCCTTTCCATGGATGCTGTCCTGACACGTGTCAGGATTAATCAAAGCAGGCTTTACCAGGATATATTCATTTTGTGATGTTTGCAATCATTGATACATCACTTTTAAACCAATAAAAACCAAGAGTTTGGGCATTTCCAGAGCACCAATTATTTGTCACTGCAGGTCCTGTCATGCTAAGCAGGTGCAGAACTCTTGGTGGGGTTTTGGGTGATTTATTTGGGCTGTGGAGATTTTGATTGGGCTGGAAAAAATCTCCTGATTTCGGGAAGTACAGGCTGGTGCAAGCACGGATAAAGAGGAATGACTGAGGAGCTGGGGGTGCTCACCTGGAGAAAAGGAGACTCAGGGGTGCCCTCCTCACTCTGCACAGCTCCTGAAAGGTGCCTGTGCTCAGCTGGGGCTGGGCTCTTTCTGCAGGCACTGACAGAGCCAGAGCACACAGCCTGCAGCTGCACCAAGGGAAATACAGGCTGGATAGCAGGAAAAAGCTTTTTACAGAAAGGTGATAAAGTTCTGGAATGGCTGCCTGGGGAGGTGGTGCAGTCACCATCCCTGGGTGTGTTTAACAAAGCCTGGATGTGGCACTGGGGGCCAGGGTTGAGTTGAGCTGTTGGGGCTGGGCTGGACTCGATGATCTTGGAGGTCTCTTCCAGCCTGGTCATTCTGGGACTGTGTGAAGAGTTGTTGCACAGTGCCATCTAGTGCAGCCCATCCGGAGCATCCCAGCCTGGCTCCCACCCTGCTCTTGCCCTTCTTCCTCCAAGGACAGGGATTTTGGCAGGGAGAAGGAGGGAACAAGCAGGAAATGCTGCACTCTGTGTCCCACACTCCTCTGGGATGTGGGATGGAACGCTGTGCCCGGCAGCATTTTTGTGCTGGTGATTTCAGCTTTGATAATTTCAGGTGACTGAGACCAAACTCACCGTTCAATGTGACATCTGTGAGGTTTGGCTGGGCTGGTGCTGAGCTGGAAACTGCTGGATTCTCTGGGGACGCTGAGGGGCTAGAAACTTCTGGATCTTTTGGGGATGCAGAGGGGCTGGAAACTTCTGGATTCTCTGGGGATGCAGAAGGATTGGAAGCTTCTGGATTCCCTGGGGATGCAGAGGGGCTGGAAACTTCTGGATTCCCTGGGGATGTAGAAGGGCTAGAAACTTCTGGATCTTTTGGGGATGCAGAGGGGCTGGAAACTTCTGGATTCTCTGGGGATGCAGAGGTGCTGGTACCTGCTGGATTCTCTGGAGAACTGGAAACTGCTGGATTCTCTGAAGGGCTGGGAACTTCTGCATCCTCTGAAAGTCTCTTTGGTTGTTTGCAGCCTAAAGAAACCCCCCCAAAAGATGACAAAAATCAGAAAAGGCTTTGCCACCGAGCAGATCCTTGAAAAACGAGCCCTGCCCTGCTCCATGCTCTGCACTGTTTGGGTTCTGATCAAGGGTCTCACTTCCAGTCCCACCCTCAGCTTTCCTGCCC